CAGCTCAAGGCTAGCACTCTACCACTTGAGCCACAGCACCACTTCTGGTTTTCTGGTGGTTTATTGGAGATAAGAGTCTCACAGACTTTCCTGCCCAGGCTAGCTTTGAACCCTGATCCTCAGATCTCAACTTCCTGAGTAGGTAGGATTACAGGCATGAGCTGCTGGCACCCATCTTCTTCCTGTTCTTATATGGACCTTCCTAGATCCAGATCCTAAAAGACAATGGTGTCCAGTTCTAAGGGCAATGATACTTACGCAATCTTGTTGACTGTGGCATCTTCATCATCCACTGCAAAAAACAAAAACATGGGGAAAAGTCAGGACATCAATGGGCAGCTCTAGTAGTCAACTGTTTTATAACATATCCCCTGCCTTCTTCCTGTCTTCTCAATGGAAGCAGAGCGGGAAAAGAGGTTTTGGGAGCTCTTACACTATGAACCCCACAACCTTTCCAGACAGGGTGACAGCTTAAAGGTCAGAGATCCTAGGGCTGGATACTGGTGGGTCATGCCTGTAATCCTAGCTACCCAGGAGGCTGAGATCTGAGGATCAAGGTTCAAAGCCAGCCCAGGCAAGAAAGTCCTTAAGACTCTTATCTCCAATTAACCAGCAAAAAGCCAGAAGTGGAACTATGGCTCAAGTGGTAGACTGGTAGAGTATTAGCCTTGAAAAAGAAAGAAAGAAAAAAAAAAAGCTCAGGGACAGCACCCAGAATCTGAGTTCAAACCCCAGGACTGGTGTACACACACACACACACACACACACAAATCAGAGGTCCTATATGAGAGAATACATGTCAGAAATCCCCTTACTTCTCTCCCTCCTCTTTTTGATTTCTCCCACAGGTTCCTCTTATACATTCAGATACAATAAACAACTAGGCTGAGGTTGATTACACCAGTGGTTGGGTGAAGGGAAGAGAAATGAGAAGAGGAAGGGGAGATTCATAGAGAAAGCCCCTAGGGAATTACAAACACCTTGTTGGGTTGGGGCTCATGCCATCATTCTAAGGGGTGGAAAGGCTGAGACCATGACAAGATGATTCAAGACTAGGGTTAGACCTTAAAGCAAGGGTGTCCCTTGTCTCACAAGTCTTCAGGAAAGAAAGCAATCTAAACACACTTAGGCAATCTACAAAAAGGAAGGCTACCAGGTCCTGGAACCTCAGTGGTCAAGAAGTCTCTGGTCCTGGGGACAGGATCACCAGGACAGGAGACAATACAGGACATGTACCGGTGATGACATTTGCCAATAGTTGGCTGCTTTAGGTTCACTGAAAGCCCTAATTTTGTCCACATAATGACAATGTCCTAGGTAGACATTATACTCATTTTGTTAGATGAAACTAAGGATTAGAAAGGCTACCCACAGCTTGCAGACATTTCAGATATCTAAACCTCCTGCCACACATTTTTGCCCTTGCCTATAAGAAGGCAGGCTGAAGAAGCAAAGGCTCTAAAGCAGTTTAGCACAGCCACCTTTCCTTCCCCAGTAGACACCATCACCCATTCCTTTGAGGCTGGCTCCATGGAAACAGAAACTCTGTCAGAAGGGAGGGAAGTCTCAGGTACCTGTGGTGAACTCAGCAGGCTTCTTGAAGCGGGTCAGGAAGACATGGCAAAGGATGTAGAGTGTCGCAAATAGAAGTATTGAGATCTGTGGCAGAAAGTGAATGAGGATGAGAAACTCTAATCTCTACCACATTCAGTGGACTCAAAGGCCTTTCTGTTCATTCCAGGGGATTCTTTCTTTCTTCCTTTCTTTCTTTTCTTTTCTTTCCTTCCTTCCTTTCTTTCTTTCTGTCTTTCTTTCTTTTCTTTCTTTCTCCCTTCCTTCCTTCATTATTTTTTGCCAGTCCTGGGGCTTGAACTCAGGGCCTGGACACTATCCCTGAGCTGCTTTTGCTCAAGGCTAGCACTCCACCACCTGAGCCACAGTAGTACTTCTGGCTTTTTCTGTTTATATGGCACTGAGGAATCAAACCCAAGGATTCATGCATGCTAGGCAAGCACTCTGCCACTGAGCCACCTTCCCAGCCCCAGGGGGTCACTTTCTTGAATTAGGTTCCATACTTCCTGGGGTTCTATCTTTCTCAAGGGCCAGAAGGGTTAGCTCATGAACTTAGGTAACAGCACTGTGCCCAGCCCTATAAGGGCTTTCCTGTGAGAAAACAGCTTCAGCCCATTTACCTAGTTGATAAACAGGCAGAGGAAATTCCTAAAGATGCATACATTCTTCTCTCTCTCTCTCTCTCTCTCTCTCTCTCTCACACACACACACACACACACACACACACACACACACTTCTAAATCAGGCCATAGACCAGAAGGGATATACTTTGGGAACATGACTGTGAAGAGTAACAGGTCTGAGGAGAGGAAGATGTTCACATTGACATGGCACTCCCCTCTTACACCACTCTAGCTGCTGTCTTGAGTCAAGTTCCAGGAAGATGTAGAAATCAAGTTTCTAGATCAAGTCAGAACTTCTACTCTATTTATTCAGGGATCCTGAAAGACCAAGTCTGCTCTGGGCTGAACTAGTGCCTCATTTTAATTCTCATTTAATCTAAGAGTATGCTTCAGTCGGGGCTCAACATCTACAAGAGTCTTAGAGCTGGTATCAGCCACTTTGAAAGTCAGTCAAAGATAGGAACCAGTGGCTCACACTAACCACTCACGAGGCTGAGATTTGAGGATTGCAGTTTGAAGCCAGCCCAGGCACAAAAATCCATGAGACCCTTACCTCTAATTAACCACCAAAAACCCAGAAGTGGAGTGGTGGCTCAAGTGGTAGTGTGCTAGCCTAGAACAAAAGAGTTCAGGGACAGTGCCCAGGCTGAGTTCAAGCCCCAGGATTTGTGCATGCGTGCGTGCACATACACATATACACATACACAAAGTCAATACTTGAACTCTATTTCAAGTGATTTCTTACTTCAGGGACAGACCTCTTTTGGCCTCTCTCATGGCACTGAGTAGCTGAACCACTACCAATAGTTATGTCAGAATCCAGCCAGATTAATGTATGTATGCTACATTTCTGCCTTATTCCAAGTCAATCACTATTGCCCAGGGGAAGGGCAACAGGTCAATTTAGCTCTGCAATCAAGGCTAGCATGTTAAGAACAGATATTACTAAGGAAGGTTAAGATTAGCCTCATATAGATCATCTAGAGCAGGTGAACCCCACAGGGAATTTTCATACAGCTATCTATCAAGGAGGGAAGACTCAAGGGTTTGGGGGGGGGAAGCAGGGAGGAAGGAGAGGGCTGGGACTGTGGCTTAGTGGAAGAGTGCTTGCCTAGCATGCATGAAGCCCTGGGTTCAATTCCTCAATACCACATAAACAGAAAAGGCTGGAAGTGGCGCTGTGGCTCAAGTGGTAGAGTGCTAGCCTTGAGCACAGAAAGGGTCAAGGACAGAGCCCAGGCTCTGAGTTCAAGCCCCAGTACTGGCAAAAAAACAAAACAACAACAACAACAAAAAAAAAACAGCCAGGCTCCATTGGCTCACACCTATAATCCTAGGTTCTCAGGAGGCTGAGATCTGAGGATCATGGTTCAAAGCCAGCCTCGGAAGGAAAGTCTGAGAGACTCTTATCTCCAATTAACCACCAGAAAGTGCTGTGGTTCAAGTGGTAGAGTGCTCAGAAGAGATCAAGGTAAGTGCCCAGGCTCAGAGTTCAAGCCCCACAACTGACAAAGAAAAAAAAAAGCTGCAGCTTCTGACATTAGAGAATTAGAAAGGAGCCACTCAGATTGTAGCTACATGATTTGTACAGTCTAGTGCTCTGCCCTGAACTTGCGTAATAGCTAGGAAGGTGGGAGGGCTCAAAAGGTCAGGCCAGAGTTCCACGCAGTTCCAGCAGAGGTTATGTTGTTCTCTAGGCTCTAGATAGGTGCCAGATGGGGGAGCCACCAGAAGCATTAAGGCTGCCTTTATCTATCACTAAAGTAGCTAATAGCACTAAAGGATTGGGGAAACAGCTAGGAGACTGTTTCCGTACAGCTTCTCATCCTTCCCTGTATTCTAGGAATGTGAGCCTCTGGTTCTACACTGCCTCAAGGCCTGGGGTGTGCCTGTAGAAAATGCCCAAAGAGCCTATACACCAAGAAAGGAAGGCTTCTTGGAAGCAGACCTCATCCAGGGATACACTTCTTAATTTCCAGCTATCCAAGTAGGGGCTGACTCCATTACATCTTGGTTCACTTTACCTTTTTTTTTAATCCCCAATTTAAGGATTCCCAGAATGGTCTACAGCGCAGCCTGAGAAAAATAATGAAGCTAGGAATTGGTAGGCTTGTAATCTCAGAATTTGGGAGGAAGATAGTGAATTTGAGGCTAACCTGGCCCATATAGTAGTAGTAAGATCTGTACTCTTTAGTACAGACCAAGACCTTGTCACCAAAAAAAAAAAAAAAAAAGCTGGTATCACACAAAATAAAAAGACTCCATCAGTGATCCCCCACCCCCATTTCTTTCTATTCCTCCAAATCTTTCCCTTTTTATTCAATGTTTGAGGAGGAATGGGGAAGAGATGAGAATATAAAGTAGGCCTAAATAAAATGCGACTCCCTAAACTCTACCAGGGCATTTACAGCCCAAAAGTGTTGGGCTAGGTGACCGTGAGGGGGGTGGGAGCCAGAGTTGCTCAGAAACAAAAGGACCACTCCCAGAGGAAATCCCCAAATGGCTGGGAAGCTGGAAACCTAGCCTTGCAGGGTTTCAAACATTTTCAAACATTAGGGAGCACGTACATGCAAATGTAATGAAAGTTTTGTGCACTGAAGATGTACAAAAAAAAAAAGAAGAAAAAGTTTTAATTATAAATATAATGCAGTCAATCCCCACCACACACACACACACACACACACAAAACCACCAAGGAAGATGGAAAGAAGGTGTAGCTCCGTGGTAGACCATGTGCTTACTATGGAGACCCTGGATTCAATTCTCAAACAAAAACAAAAAAGCTCCCATGAGGAGGAAAAGACGAGGAAAACCACCAGCGTGGCCCATTTCCACACTTCAGAATTCAGCTGCAGTAACTTCTTCCCAAGTGGGAGCCCGACACACGAAGTCTCCTTCCGATGCCTCCCGCCAGCCAACCTCCACTACGCCTCCTTCCCAGGTCCTTCCTGGAATCCAGCTCCAAGGGATGAAGTCTCCCCTTCACCCCAACGTTAGCTGGGCCATCCATCCAGGTGGAGGGGCACACGCAGATGAGGGGCACACGCAAATCAACGCGCCTGTCCAGAGAATCCGTCCTTCTCGGACCGTGGACTGAACTACGGTGGACTTTCCAGGGTCTTTTTACACTCAGAACTCCCCCCTCCCCCCCATTCCCGCAACGCCCGCTGGGGTCCAGCAGAGCAGGGGGGGCTGGGGGAGGGGTTGCGGGGGGGCGGGGGAGGAACGGAAACCGCCGGGCTTTGTTTACTGCGCTGGGACCCAGCTGATCCGACCCAGGGGTTCCCCCCAGCTTTTACATTCTCTCGACGACCCAAGGCCTTCGTCTCCCGACCCCGGTTCCAAGCCGGGATTTCGGGGGAGCCCAAGTGGGTCACAACTCCCCATCCGAGGTGACCCAACCGACCGCCTTCTCCTCCAACCACGTCCCCCCACCTCTGGCTCTCCTCTTCCCCGCCCAGATCCCCTCGCTACTCACGATGCACTCGCGGACCTTCTCGTGAAATAGCTGCTCTCGCACCGATAGCACTTCGTAGTCAGCTGCTTCCATACTCTGTTCAGCATGACTGGAGTTTGGGGCGGGGGGTATCTCTGGGCCCGGGGAGAGGACGAGCGGGGATGAGGCCGCCGCCGCCAAACACCCGGACCCTCTAAGGAGCCAGTGACGGAAACTCGGGGTAATCTGTGGCTCAGATTCAGGCTGCACGCCCCGCCCTTAAAGGGGCAGGCACCAGCCCGCCTTGTTTTAAAGGGCTCTAGCCACTCTTCAGCTCCCTCCCCTTTAAGGTCGGGGTACGGTCACGTTTCGCCGCAAACACCCGCCACTCGGCTAACTACCCAGGAAGCCCCAGGTTTAGTTCTATCATTTTAAGAGCCTGGGTGACGACACAAGGGGTGGGCGGGTTCGTTCCAGAGAGAGGAATTCATTGGCTGCTAGGGAGCTGCCGGGCATCTCTAGAGGAACGCTGATAGGTTCTCCCGTGGAAGGAGGCGGGATCTTTTCTGCCAGCAGAAGTGCATTCTGAAATTTAAGAGATTACTCTCTCACCTCCCGCTTGGACAGGGCTGCCAGTGTCAGTGTTTCGCTAATGGCCAAGATTTACTTAGACCGTGGTTAAGCTAACATTTTGGATCAAGCCAGTCAGGCAAGCTGAGAAAGCACGCAGGAGTTCCTGCTATGCTGTAATAACCCAGTATTTTCTGGGTATCTATGTCTGGGCCTCCTACACTTCAGTTTTCAACTCATTCTTTATTATGGAAAACTTCGTGTGTGGGAGAACAAATAATGAGAACTGAATAGAAGACTACGAAACTGTCCTGAAACTTTGCCAGATAATAGCCACAGAGAAACATTGATGAATAGGGCTGGAATGTTAGCTAACCACCTAAGTGATTTTCAAGGTGTGTGTGTGTGTGTGTGTGTGTGTATACTGTGGACTGTGGACTGGGTACTGTCCCTTAGCAGTTTTGCTCAAGGCTGGGGCTCCACCACTTGAGCCACACCTCCATTTCCAGGTTTTGTTTTGTTTTGTTTTTTTGTCATGGGGCCTGAACTCTGGGCCTGGGCTCTGTCCCTCAGCTCTTCAGCTTAAGGCTAGCGCTCTACCACTTGAGCCACAAGTGCCACTTCCAGCTTTTTCTGCTTACCTGGTGCTGAGGAATGGAACCCAAGGCCTCATGCATGCAAGGCAAGCACTCTACCCCTGAGCCACCTTCCCAGCCCAACTTCCAAGTTTTTGTTGGTTAATTGGATATAAGAGTCTCAAAGGCTTTCCTGATTGACATGACTTTAAACCTGGATCCCCAGATCTCAGCCTCCTGAGTAGCTTGGATTACAGGCATGAGCCACTGGCACCTAACTCAGTTTATAGCCTTTATCTCATTTTAATTTCACAACAGCCTTTTTTTTGTGTGCTTTTTTTGTTTTGTTTTGTTTTTGGTTGGTCATGGGGCTTGAACTCTGGGCTTGGGCACTGTCCCTCAGCTCTTCAGCTCAAAGCTAGCACTTTACCACTTGAGCCACAGCTCCACTTCCAGTTTTAGAACACTAAAATGTGTCTAATTACCATCTGAGCAACTAAAGGACCAGAATAGTTACTAACTGAACTCTGTACACTTTTTTTTTTTTTTGCCAGTGTGGGGTGTGGGGCCTGAACTCTGAGCCTGGGTGCTGACCCTCAGCTCTTCAGCTCAAGGCTAGCGCTTGAGCCACAGTGCCACTTCTGGCTTTTTCCATTTATGTGGTGCTGAGGAATCGAATCCAGGGCTTCATGTATGCAAGGAAAGCACTCTACCACTGAACCACCTTCCCCACTCTAACTTTTTTTTTTTTTGGTCAGTCGTGGGGCTTGAACTCTGGGCCTGGGTGCTGTCCCTCAGCACCACATAAATGGAAAATGCCGGAAGTGGCGCTGTGGCTCAAGTGGTAAAGTGCTAGCCTTCAGCAGAAGAAGCTCAGGGATAGTGCCCAAACCCTGAGTTCAAGCCCCAGGACTGGCAAGACAAAGAAAGAGGAGGAGAGAAGGAGGAAGAGGAGGAGGAGGAAGAGGAACAGGAGAAGGAGGAGGAGGCGGCAGCAGCAGAGGAAAAGGGAGAAAGAGAGAAGAAAGAGAAGGAAGGAAGGAGGGAGGGAGGAAGGGTGGATGGAGGAGGAGGAGGCCAGGTGTAGGAAGAAGAAGGAGGAAGAGGAAGCATTGATAAAGATCTGTTAGAACATGCCTTTAAGTTCAGTAGTTCCAATACTGAGGCAGGAGAATCTTGAGTTCCAGACCACTTTGGGCTACATATCAAAACCAGATAATGACAGGACTCGAAGAGTAAACTTTCCTCTTAGCAACCAAGATAGGAATGAACAGAAACTAACAGAATGCGTCAAAACAGATACAAAAAAAGTACAGAATTGAAAAACCTCTTTTATACAACTACTTAAATATAATTAAAAAATAATAATTTTGGGCACCAGTGATTCACACCTGCAATCCTTGCTACTTAGGAGGCTGAGATCTGAGAATTACAGTTCAAAGACAGTCCTGGTAGGAAAGTCCGAAAGACTCTTATCTTCTATTAACTGCCCAAAAGCCAGAAGTGGAGGTGTGGTTCAAGTGGAAGAGCAACAACCTTGTGCTGAAAAAGGTAAGAGACATTGTTTGGGCCCTGAGTTCAAGCCCTAGTATGTACACTCTCTCTCTGTCTCTCTGTCTCTGTCTCTGTCTCTCTGTCTCTCTCTCTCTCTCTCACACACACACACATATACTACCTATGGTTCTATAGATGGGACAGGTTCTACTTCAGTATTCCCCAATCTGCATCAGTCACTTTTACATCTCACCAATTTTCTCTTTACATTCTCAGATCCGCTGTGCATTTGAGCATTTAAGTTTGTGACCCATGATCTAGCCTCTCTATACTGTAACTTGACTTTATCCTTATCCTGTACTTTCCTTACAAGCTCTTTTCCATCTCAGGACTTTGGACTTCCTGTCTCCTCTGTCCAAGAGAGCTCTCCCCTTCAACTCTTTCCTATGGTTTTAGCCTCTTCAGGTTGAGTTTAAACATTACCTGCTTAGAGAAATCTTATCTACAATCCATTTTTGTTATATTATTTATCACAAGTTGTAATAATTGTATTTAACCTTTTTTTTGCCAGTCATGTGGATGAACTCAGGGCCTGATACTGTCCCTGAGCTTCATTTTTTGTTTGTTTGTTTTTTTGGGTCCGGTCATGGGGCCTGAACTCTGGGCCTGGGCACTGTCCCTCAGCTCTTCAGCTCAAGGCTAGCACTCTACCACTTGAGCCACAGCGTCACTTCCAGCTTTTTTTTTCCTGCTTATGTGGTGCT